CCCGTACCGGGGATCAAACTCAGGACCTTGCACTTGTGAGGCAGGCACGGTGCCACTGAGCTAAATCCCCAGCCCTCAGTAGTGTATTTTTTAATCTAAATGCACACCGTATTTTTTTATCATGCCTGGTAAGGTGAATTATTTTTTTAAAGTACATTATATCTGGCTGATTATGTAGTTTGGGTATAATATTGGTGTTACCATTAGTTGACCTCACCATTTTTTTTTTTTGTTTTTTTTTGGTACCGGGGATCGAACTCAGGTTCTTGTGGTTGCAGGGCAGGTGGCAGAACCAATTCACTAAATCCCCAGCCCCTTGACCTGGCCTTTCTAAGTGGAACGGTATCTACTCCCAGATGCTCCCCAGCTGTGGTGAAATGTGAGCTAATTTTCTGAATCTAATTACAGTATAATCATCCTAACCTGTGTATGAAAGAAAGAAAATGGTGTGGGCTGTTTTTTGTTTTTGTGGGAGTTTTTGGTGTTCGTATTACTAGTCTTTTGGTAGAGAATTTTCTTGTTCAAAGACTCCTCATGATGTGAGAACTGTAGTAGCACTTAAGATACATGTTAGTACTTGAGAGTAATAGTGTTCTTTAAGTTGACATTGATAAAAAAGGTGACATGTACATATGGTCTTGATACAAGTATGATTTACTAATTATATTTCAGTTGATTTTTTTTTTTTTTTTTTGGCGGTACCAGGGATCGAACTTGGGACTTTGCGCTTGTGAGGCAGGTGGTGGAACTATTGAGCTAAATCCTGGCCCTTAGAATCTGTTTTTAAATATTCCTGGTGAAAATACTTTTCCCAGTGGTTATTCTAAACTTCTGATTGCTCAGGTAACTGTCCTTTGCTTTCTCATTCTCTGTATATTTTTGGCTAAAACAGCATTTACCTCCACTCAAAAGTTTTAGCTTCCCTCTGTTGACTTCTTGACATTTCTACCAAGCTCTGCATCGCTTAGCCTTTTTTTTAAAAAAAAAAAAAAAAAAAAAAGCAGCATCTTCCTGGCTTTTAAGGGAGGGAGGTGGAGACTTTTAAGAGAAACTTTGTTTCAGGGGCCTCAAGTGTGAAGCCTTCATTTCCTCCACCTGCTTTGCTTTGTCCTACAATCAGCTAGAGGAAGACCGAGACACCCTCCTCTGAGGTTGAAGGGGGTAGATAGGGTGGCAAAAGAGCTGGATTTGGATGAGAGAAAGAAAAAGGGATAGGAGATAGTATGGCAGCTAGTGTTCGATTCTGGGCTTCAAGTCCTGTGAAAATAGGAAGAAATACTATTCATGATAGTCTTTAATTCTGACATACCTTTAGAGCGCCTAGCATGTTTCTGGCACTAGAAAATTTATTCTTACCTCACAGTTGGAAGTCGCTGAGCGTAGGTAAGATGGTTATACTGGGGAGTTGTTATGTGTAGGTGTGTTGAGTGTCACAGTGTCTTCACCATGTTTTTGCTAAGGCAGCATACTATGCTAGTCTTGTCCATCACTTCAGTCTGACCAAGCTGTATGTGTTGGATTTGGGGACCACCCCGTGTTCTGTGATCTGGCTGGCATAAAGCCTTGGAAGTAAACAAGTTCAGATGGACTTTAGAAACTGGGGTAGCACGTGACAACTGTGTATATATTTAAGCATTGAAATGTTTCTGAGAGAAAAGACATCACTTGTTGTCGTTTACCCTGTGAGTATAAAACAGGAAATTTACTTACCCTGGAGTGTTTCATGACCTTTACCTCTGGGAAGTCAAAGCCATGCTGTCATTAATCTACCATCCCGGAAAGCCTCCAGGCTCAGCTTTTCATCCTGCCTTCAGTCACCTGAATCCGTGAGATTCAGGAAAGTTCCTGGTGAGGTAGGCTCCCTCTTTTCCTTTTTGCCTCACTACCTTACATCCCTTTGGAAAATCAGGTTGGTTTGAGAACTCTTAACATCTTAGTGTGGTAAGTCATTTGTAAAAGACAGTTATTTGTTACACACTGTGACCTCTTCTATTGCTACAAGGAAAGGACTTCTGAAGAAAAAATTGGTTGCCGTACTGAGCTTCCCTGAAAGCCCCTTTCTACCTATAAGGATAGCTCTGCCTCGGTTCTTTTTTTTTTTTTTAATAGCACAATTTTTTTTTTGTACCGGGGATTGAACTTGAGACCTTGTGCCTGCAAGGCAGGCAGTGGAACCACTGAGCTAAATCTCCGGCTCTGTCTCGGTTCTTTAGATTGGAATTTCTGTTTCTTGTACATAGTGTAAGAGAAATGATAGATGAGTTTATTACACCAATCAGGAACAGTGCCCAACTTGGTTAATTCTTTGGTCTCCTCAGAGAATAGTGAGGATATTTCTTGAGGCTCCTGAATATTTGGTTTGGATTCTTGGGAATTACTGAGTTTAAATGGCCTAACTATGCTAGGGTTATACTTTGGGTCACTGTTTTGTTTCTCCTTTTTATGATCCAGAGTGGCATTAGTAATAAGATTGAAGAAGTTGAATGCTTGCTTTGAACATGGAGCCAATGGGGTGTTAATTATATCAAATTGGACTCCTTTTGGCAGAGCAAATAGGCACAGCACAGTCCAGGAACCATACTCTTTATTGTATTCAGGGTAAAATTTGTAAGTTTTTAATTTGAATCTTGAAGATACAAGTTGAGTTTGGAAACAAAGCTAGAACTCTGTTTTGGGTAGAGATACTGATATTGGTACTCTGCTGGAAAAGAAACAATCACTTTAGAAAACATCTGTGGTACTCAGCTGCCAATTGTTGCAGCTGATCTTCTACTTGAAGCTTAATTCCTGGCTACAGGGTGTATGTCATAGAAACCATGACCAAGAGGCCTTGATTTAAATGTCTAGTTTAATTTGAGTACCTCCTTTTTTTCCTTCTCACGGGATTGAGATATTTTAAGGTAAATCTCATTATATTTGGCATAAGCTCTTAAGGGACCATCAGCAATCCTGTAACACTGTACTTTGTCTTGCTAAGCGTCTAGCTTTGGTTTTGCTATTTGATCTCTCTGAATCTCATATTTCTTTCTCTCTCATGTCAACACTTCTGGTCTCTTTTCTAATAAAAATATTTTCAAAAATCACTTGTGACCAAAGACAGATCACACATTTAGCCTTAAACTTTATATATGCCCACTTTGGCAGCACATATACCAAAATTGGCCTTAAACTTTAGCAGCCAGTAGGATGAGTTGAAGCACAGTTGCACAGAAATTTACAGAGTTTACAAGGTAGAAAGAAACTAACAGGTTGCTTATGTGAAAAGCGCAACTATTTTGGGTCTAGGAACCAGAAAGAAAGATTTGCCATGGTCCTCATAATTTGGTAATGGAAGGAACAACATCACACATCTTTACCAGTAACTCAGTAGTGAATTTATAAGCCTTATGAGGTTAAGGGTCTTTATCTTGTTTATCTCTATATTCCCCATGTCCAAAATAGCACCTGACCCAAAGTAGACACTTGGTTGATAATTTGAAAGACTAGTAAATAAATCAAATAATTTTATGGTTTCAGAGTTGT